ATATATTCTAACATGTAAACTCTTAATATTTGTTATAAGTCTTTCTGTTCTCTTTAGATATTTACCAAAATTTTTAAATTTTAACGAGGTTACAAATTGAGAATTGACTAAATCAAGCATAATAACATCTTTTTTTTTTTTTTGAGATTGGATCTTACTATGTTGCCCAGGATGGTCTCAAACTCCTGGGTTTAAGTGATTCTCCTGCCTCAGCCTCCCAATTAGCTGAGATTACAGGCACATGCCACCTTGCCAGGCATATTAATATCTATATGATGTATATTTTCAAGTTTAGTCTTGCTGTTAGTCCTCAATACCTTTTTGATATTTTTAATGGGGTTTGTTTATTTTGCTTCCATGTATCTTTGCAATTTGTCTTGACTTTCTATATTTTAGACAGATTATTTAGTTTAGGGTTTCACATCTTCCTGTCCAAGTAGTTGCTCATAGTTGGCACAGATTTTGATGAGTATTGTTTCAGTTGCTTCATTTCTTTCTATTAAATTTCTTTGTAATTGCTGTTCTAATGTTTAGAAACCTGTTTCTTTCAGAAACAAGAGTGTAGGTACATTAAATTACTAAAGCTTGCAAGGTTGTTGAGGGAAATTTGGAGCTATTCTGATAAGCATAACTTTAAAAGATACTGTCGCCCTCTTATGAAATGCTGCGCCTTGTCCCAGTGTCAAAGAAAGAAGGAGCTGGGTGGTCATTGGCAAATACTTCCAGCGCCTGCCTTAAAGAAGCCACAGCCCAGGTGTCAAATGGGATGCCTGCAGGCTCAATCCATTCCACAGATGCTGATTTATTTGAGGCTACACTATTGGCAACTATTATACAATCGGTTGCCCATATTTAAAAATCAGGATATTTCACAAGAGTATCCTAATGCCTGACTTCTCTTGAAAAACTGGAAACCCTGAGAGTACGGTCCATTTAGCAACATTTAGCAGGGCTGAGTTGCAATCACTGGCTATAGAAGCTGCCTTGAGTTGCCATAGTCCTCCTCAATCCATTTTGCCCCATGCTGCCTTCTTTGCCTGTGTAGGCATACGAGTTTATGAGCCATGTGGGCAAAGAGAAATAGCGCTTAACAAATAGTGTCTTTAAGCAATTTTCAAACATCCCTGTTGGTTTCCCCGGAACAGGATGAAAAAATCTTACCCTATTTGAGTTCTGAATAATGACACATCATTTTATTTGCAGGTAACATGCTTCCTCTCTCCTACATACACATCATTTATTAATGTCCAAGACATGAAATCCCTTATCTTTGAAGAATCTGTGAAATGTGTCAGAAAGTTCATAGGAAGGGTCACATAATTTTAAAGCTGGAATTTCACGTCATACAGTTCACAGTCATTTTAAAAACGAGTCAGTGAGGGTTCCAAGAGATCGCGATTTGTCTACCGTCACCCAGAGTGCTCTCTTGACTTTCAGTTCCAGGTTGCACCCACTGCATCCTTCTGCCTGTGCTTTTAGAGTTCCTCCACCAAAGATGAGACAGGAATTCGGGATCATTGACAGCAAAACCACTATCGGTAGTTGCCACATTTGGGAGACTGGAAGAGACAGTAATTCTTGCCACCCTCTCTGTGTTCAGACACAGCTCTGGTGGGAGGAGAGTGCTGAGAACCACGGACAATGCCCCAGGGTCCATGTGTACCACACACCGCAGAAACCAGTGACTGCATCCTCCTGGTGCCTCCGTGGGGCCAGCATGCTGGCAGCAGATTAATTGCCATCAGTAAATTCCTCAGCTTGTGCTAACATTATGCAGATAAATGGCTGTGAAGCTCAACTTTGGCCGTGGTTTGCAAAAACACAGTATCTGTGACTCAGAAGTAATTTACACGTGCATATTAACGTACGCGTACTTGTTTTTTGAGTTATGTAGAGATATTCTCCATCCTGCTGTTTTATAGGATATGAAAATGTGAGGACCAGAAGGGATCTTAGAGGCCATTTTATTTTTTTGAAACACGGGGATTAGGAGGCTTCTCCAGGTGGTTGATCTTAATTACTGACAGGGCTGGAACAAAAGTCCAGGTTTTCTGCTTTCTGTAGCTTAACGGAAAGAACAAGTGGGGAAAGGGAAGCAGTGTGGCCTGTGCGGGACCAGCTAGGCGGCCTTTGGGGAAGCCCTGGTACCTCTCTGGTTTTGGTGCCCTCGTGTGAAAAATGAGGTTTACTACCAGATGATAGATAAAGTCCCTTCTGACGCAAAAATTCTGTTATTTTTTAATTTGCTTTGCGCTACAATTGTTTGCTTACCCTAAGTGGTATGTTGTATGTCTGATACAACTGATCACATGTGTGGGGCTGTTGTGCATTAGGCTGGCCATCTGCTTGCATGTGTTTTAAAATTTTTATTTGAAGGAAATGCTAATCTCTATAAAGTTTTGTCTCATTGGTCTTGGTGAGCAATATGTGCTTTAACTAAACTCTTGAGCCATGGTTGGTTTTCAAGTGATTAATTCCATCTCTACATAAAAATTTTATTTTTCTCTGTCTACATTCTCTCTCTTGCTTTTGTTGGCTAGTCCCAGCCTGGTAAGAATCTTTACCAACGGTGTTCTAATTATTCCTGAATGGTTTCCCAAAGCGAGCACCAACATATAAAGTGAATTTGAGGACAGAAGGAAATGTTTAATCTGCCATCATTTGGAGGAACTCACCCATCAGAATGAACTTGTCATCAGGGTTGAGGGTAACCATGGACACATCAGCAAATGAATTAAATTGATAGCGAAGGCTTTACAAGTCTTTTAAACTGTAGCCAAGGCCTTGTAGGCATCACTTGACCCTACGTTCCAGAGTAAGCAGGGCTTGGAGTCTCTATTTAGGCTGCGCTTCTTCGTATTTCCTTTATTATCTGGGATACTGGCCAAAGAATTATCTTTGCACACTCAGGGTAGGGTGCGTGTCATGGAAGCACCGTGACTTCCAGCCTCTCTCTTGGTGCTTTTTTATAATCTGAGCCCTAGACAGTTGCAGACTAGATGGCCAACGGAAGCGAAAGCCGGCAGCACAGTGGCTACAGCTAAGATTTTGATGGACTGTCATTGCCTAGGACAGAAGTGCTTTTTTTGGTGGTTTCAGAATATTTGCAAACATTGGTGGTTAAACAGCAGCATGAATGCTGAGAATATAAAATTTAAGATTACTTCTGACTTTTACTCATATATAATCATATGCAATTTTATAATTTCAGTTTAGCAAACTGTAATAGCAAAATATAGAAAAGAAAAGTACCATTTTTTTTTCTTTTTTTTTTTTAGACAGGGTCTTTCTCTGTTGCCCAAGCAGTCATAGCTCACTGTAACCTTGAATTCCTGGGCTCAAGTGATCCTCCTGCCTCAGCCTCCCAAGTAGCTAAGACTACAGGAATGCGCCACCACACCCAGCTAATTTTTAATTTTTTTGTAGAAATGGGGTCTTGCTATGTTTCCCAGGCTGCTCTCGAACTCCTGGCCTCAAGGGATCCTCTCGCCTTGTACTCCCAAAGTGCTGGGATTATGGGAGTGAGCCACTGTGCTCAGCCTAGAAAAGTATCTTTATGTAGAATTTTTTATTCTATTTGATGTACAAATAGTAATTTGACTAATTTTGCTTTCAGTAAAGCTGTTTATTAATTTAATAGAAATATCTTTTACTACTGGAATTGAACTGGTATTTAGAAAACATCTTAAACAAAAAGAAAGACATTTTGTTCAAAATCTTCTGCAAGTCCGAGTGTTACAGGTTCTAAAAATCCCATCTGCTGAGCCAGTGGAAGGGAGAGCTCGGCTGGCCTGCAGCCCACACCTAGGGAATGGCATTTGATGCCACCCTTGTTGGGAAAATACCCCCATTGGAGACTGGACTCCAGAATGATAGTACAGTCACTACATTTCCCCCAGATCTGCCTTTGGACATTCATTCACTAAGTCCCTGAACTGCCAAGCACTGGGTCTTGTTAATCAAGTCTTTTCTTTTCTTAGACATAAGGACTCAGATTTTCAAAGCTTATTCCATCATCCCCCTTCTCTTCTTGAACTTGACATTTTTTTTTTAGCGGGGAATAAAAGAGGAATAGGGATGGAAAAGTGAGTACGTGGCCTGTTGCTATTTTTGCCTTCTTTGCTTTTCGTTTTAGGTTGTTTTAAACAAATATACTTTTCCTAAGACTTTTTGTTAACCTCCTTTTCATTTTGGTAAATATTTTGAGGGGGAAAATAATGTTCACATTTTGAAATTTTATATGTACTTAGCTGCTACTAAACTTATTACTGAAAAACTTTCAATTATTTAAAATAAATTGGACTTTTTCTTCATAAGATGATACATAAATTCTAACTGAGCTTAGAGATGAATTTTTCAGAAAATAGAGAAATAATTCTAGTGATAAAACATTAAACTTTGAAATAATTTTTTTCATTATGCTTCTGTACATATGTTTCTTGTATTACTTATCTAGTTATAGTTCAGCTAGGTGACAAAGTCTTTAAAGAGACTGACGTTTTGAAGCAGACTTAAAATAGTTTTATTTTTTTATTATGATTTTTTTAAAAATAGTTTTAAAAGCTACGTTAGTTAAGCATTATATATTGTGCTAAATGACAAAAATATCCCCAAACTTAAAAACATTACAGATGCTCACTTGCTGTTTAAAAGTTGTGCTTTCCCATTTTCTGGTTAGAGATTTAATGTATTTGTTTAATTCTTTTTAAACACATTTTTTTAAACTTTATTTCAGGAAGGGAAAATGAACAGAAATCAAGTAGCAACAAAATGCATTTAAGGAAAGCTTTGAAGATTAACCCTACCCTCACTAAGGAAGTAAGAACAATCTTGGAACAGACCTTGGTGGAGAAACTGGAAACCTTTGGGATTAATGCGGTACATTCATTCATTTTTGAAACACTTGTTAGTTTTGTTATATTTTGTTTTCTGAATAAGAAACAATCCGAGAAAAGAAGAAGGCACATCAGTTCTGCCCACATTTGGAGACCAGAGGCTAATGCAACCTACTTTATTTATCAGACACTTACATGGCATTCACTGTGTGCCTGGCACATACCTAAAACCTTAATAAATATTAACTTGTTTGAACGCAGAAACAAATCTCTGAAATAAGTGACATTATTATCTTGACATTTTACAGAAAGGTTAAGTAACTTGATTGAGGTCACATGGCTGGCGATGAAGGAGCCAGGGTTGTGTCTAGGTGGCCACAGTGCTGCTTACTGTGACCCAAATCCCCAAATCATTGCCTATTACACAATCAGTACTTCATAAATATATGTTGCATGAGTGGATGAATGAATTGTATTTAATATTGTTGCCAGATTGAATAATTTTGGTACATTATATTACATATAAACTTTCTGCTTTTTACATTTTTTATTGAGATATGTAAAATGCACAAATCTTAATTGAACAACTTGATGAATTTATATACCCGTATATATGTAAGTATCTACATATGCATGGGCATACACGTGTAGACATGAACGTGTGTACATGAGGACAGGTATATATCCATGTGTATATGAAGACACCTATATATAAATGTGTGTATACATGTATATATGGATGTATGTGTGTGTGTGTATGTACACATTTGTGTGTGTATATACATGTATGTGTGCACATGGATGTACGTATGAATATACAGGTGTGTGTGTGGATGTGGATGTTTTTGTGTGTATACAAGCTTGTATACTTGTATGTGTATGTGCAGATTTGTATGTACATGGATGTGTGTGTGAGAGAGAGAGAGAGATCTGTAACCAGCACCCAGATGATGAGACTGGACATTTCCAACACTAGAAGACTCTCATCTTTTCCTAGTCGATATCACCCCTTATTTACCAACCAGAGGTAAAGAGTGTTCTGACTTAGTTTTGCTTGTTCTTGAACATCATATAAGGGGAAACATACACTGTGTCGTATTTTCTGTCTTCTTTTGCTTGTGATTTTTGTCTATATGATTCATACCTGTTGTTTCATGTAGCAGTAGTTTGTTCTTTGTTTATTACATTGTAGTATTCTATTGTACGAATATACCAGGACTTATCTCTTCTGCTGATGGACATTTGGGTTTCCCGTTTGGGGCTATTCTTGGCTATTAATGCTTGCATGTGTCTTTTGGTGGACATGAGCATTCCTTTTTCTTAGATGTATATCTAGGAATAAAAGTGCTGGGTCAAAGGGTAGGCATATGTTTGATATAACACTGCCCAGTAGTTTTCCAAAGTGGTGTGCCATTCCCATTATCTCTAACGGTGAATGAGAGTATAGTTGCCCCACGTCTTTCATCAGCTCTTAATATTGACAGTCTTTTAAATTTCCACATAGATTCTTTTTAGGTGGGTTTTGACCACTCTTAGAGCAGTGGAAATCAAAGATATTCATGAAATGTTCCTATGCAGACTGTTTCTTGAAACTGTAGCTTTTCATGTTGGTTGTTTGTATATGGTTTTTGGGTTTTAATTTTAATTAGGACATTTCCTTTTATACTAAGACTATAAAAACTTTCTATATTGTTTTCTAATGCTTGGGGAAGTTTTTTGTTTTTGTTTTTGTTTTTTTTGTTTTTTGGTCTATCTAGGCTCTAAGAAACAGGCTCGGAAACAGTGATTTGGAGATCTAATTTATTTCCAGTTGGATCAACTGTTCCATTACCATTTGTTGAATAATCCGTCCTTTCCCTATTTATTTGGAATGACACTTTGTCATATAGGAAATTCCTATATATATTTGGATTTGTTTTTGAACTTTCAACTGTTTCACCTTTTTTTGTGTATTCCTTTGCCCATGCTATACTGATTTAATTACAGTAGCTTTGTCTTATACTTTAATATCTTCCATAGGCCATGGTTCTTCATTGGTCTTCTTATTTCAAAAATTGCTTGGCAGTTCTTTTATATTTTGTTTTCCAATGAACTTTAGGAACAACTTCTCCAGTTCTAGAATAACCCCTATCGGGATTCTGATTGGAATTGCTTTAAATTTTGTATATTAACCAGGAAGCATTGACATTTGTACAGTATTAGGTCTTATCATCAGCTACGTGGTATGGGAAGACAGGCATGAAACAATGATCACACAGACATGTGGTAGATCTCTGATGATAGATTGTGTGACATGAAATGAAGGAAAAGTAGAGGGGATTAATTGAATAACTGAGGCCAGACAAAACTTCTTGGAGGTGGCATTTAATCTGATGGTGGAGATTTTCTGTCCTGAGCCAACTGAATGGGTGGTGAGGCCACTCCCTGGGACAGGGAAGGCTGATGGAGGGGTGGGGGATGGGAGTGAAAATGAAAGACCTGTGCGTGTGTGCGAGACACTATTATTAAATAAATAGCCCTTTAGCTAGTTTTCTTCTATCTAGGTTCCCATCAAATCCAGGTGAATTTTCTCAGATTATCTCCTTCACTATGCTACTTTCATAATTGACAGTCATCTCTGATGACTTTCTTTTCATCAGAGATGAAATAACCTTTGTGGAATAACCTTTCAGCTTTTTGAGTTGCCACGTACCCTCCATTTCTGGTTTCATCACCCAGACTTTGTAGCGTTAGTGTATAGGACATGGCTTGCCTATTTCTGCCTCAGCGCCTACGTTTCCCACAAGTTTTCCCTACCTGATCCCTACCCATCTGGAAATTCCTCCTTGTTTCCACTTGTTTGCCTCCACCCATCCCTCAGGGCACATCTCAGCCTCCCCCTTCAGCCTTCTCTGGCCACCGAGGCCTCTGATGGCGTTTCTCTGATCTCTGTGAACCCATTTGGTCCTTGGATCACATGGCCTTGCATTGTTGACCAACAAGTCATAATCAGTCATATATACACTGTGTGTGCCCAGCTGCACTGTGGGCTCCTTTTGGGGCCAGGCCAATGTGTTATATGTTGGCGCATCCTGTACCTTGTGTGCAACTGGAGCCAAGTAAGAACAGATTGAAACATTGCCGGGAACGTGGCCAGTGTTCCCTGCAAAAAACCGGGTCCCTTTGGTAGAGTTGCAAGGGATAAGAAAATAATAGAGAGAAATGGAAAATGGAAGAAATAAAAGAATACACTGAGACAAAGATATAGTTTTATAAGTTTATAAAGATTATAGGCAAAGCGGGAGCTTAGGGGGCTCCGACCTCTCCGTTGGTCTCAAAAAGCGCCGAAGGAGGTCTTACGTGGTAACTTATAGAAAATAGTGAACAATTGTCAGGGGTAACAGATTTACATAACAACAGGGAGTGCCTCTCAGGTTAACAGATTTTCAAAAGGCTTTTACAGAAGGCTCCTACAGATTCTTTAACTAATTCTATTTACGTGAGCAAACGGTTACAAAGTCTTTCAAAGGTTAATTTCTAAATTCTAAGGTAAGTTTATCATTTAAACAGAGGGGTTAAACAGAGATATGTAAGCTCCATGTTTATTAGGTTATCGTGAATGGAGACAGGTAGTCTAGAGTGGTTTAAACAAAAGCTTTGCTTTTGGCCATTCGGGAATGTGTCGTTTCCGGGAAGCTGTTTGTTCCGGAGGGCATTCCATTGTCAGCTCTCAGCCTATAGCTTTTAACAGATTCGCTTGTGCTTTACAAAGCAAATCCAATTCTTTAGGTCTGAGAAATGCGGTGCCTCGTGGGATACAGCCGCTACTGCCTTTCAGAGACGCCCTTCCGGTGTAACAGCATTCGAAATGCAAACGAACACGTTCACATATTCTTTCAGGGCAAAGCTCTGTAAAACTCTTAAGACAAATCCTGTCCCAAAACATGTTTAATACTAATTCATGGAGCGACAAAACATTAACACAGTTAATGCTAACATATGCCCATGAAATGAAAAACACCCAGGATAATTGTTTAACTTAACATCTTATTCCTTCAGGATATACGTGGTATTTCAGGTGATCACTTGCATAAAGTGCTGAGAAGTGTGGAATCAGCCAGACACGAGGTAGAAAAACACAAACCTAACATTCAGCAAATTCGAGAACTCATTGAACATCAGGTCCGCTGTAAAATGGAGGAGAGACTATTATTGTCTTCAGGTACGCCAGTTACCCACTGCCATTTCATTGCTGCAGATGGAAGCTTAAGTTAACAAACTTTTCGTAATTTTAAATGATTAACAAACTTTGGCACTTCATTGGCATCTCTCTTACTATTTGCACCATTAAATGCTGGGTCTTGGATTCTGTTTTTACATTAAAACAAACCCCTGGTGTCTGGGCTGCAAACCCTAGTGATGGGCTTGTTTGTTTCCATTGGCAGCATAGACAATATTGTACTGTTTACTGTTGCTTTTCACTTACTAAATCATAAAGGCAATGGAAACTCAGAAATGTCGCTACTATTCCAGATAAGTGCAGTGTTTCTCAAACGGATACCCTTTCAACTGGAGAAGTACCCAAAACGATACCACTTCCTCCCAAAAGCAGACAATTGACTAGACAAAGAGCTGTTTTTACAGACAGGATATCTGTTCCAAGGTGAGTATTTTCAACCCTTAAATTTTTTTTTTTGTTAATGTTTATCTTAGGCAGCCTAGGCTGCCATAACAAAATACCATAGACTGAGTGGCTTAAACAATAGAAATTTATTTTCTCATAGTTCTGGAGGCTGGAAATCAGAGAGCAGGGTGCCAGCATGGGTGGGTTTTGGTGAGGGCTCTCTTTCTGCCTTACAGACAGCCACCTTCTTGCTGTGTCTCCACGGGGTAGAGAGAGAGTAAGATCTGGTCCCTCTTCCTCTTCTTATAAGGGTACTAATCCCATCATGGGGGCCCCAACTTCATGACCTCATCTAAGCCTAATTACCTCCCAAAGGCCCCAACCCCAGACACTATCACATTGAGGGTCAGATCTTCAGCGTATGACTTGGAGGTAGGGGAGAAACAGACGAGTCCATAACAGTGTTTGGCCCAACAGAAAATCACACTTATAATTCCTACTAGTTCTATGGTTGACGCTGGGAGATTTGTTACTGCGCTCCCTCTTTAGCATATGTTCAAAGCAAAAATCATCAATTCCATAGAAATTTATGTTAAATCATATTATTATTCACTCATGCAGTCTAGAAATATTTTTTCTGTTGTTTTTTAGAAATAAGAAAAATGTCGTGGAAGATCATTTTCCCAGAAAGCCTTCAACTATTACGTGAGTGCTAGCTTGTGTGTGTGTCGGGGGAGAGGGGTATTTAAAAAATTCTTTCCACTGAACATTCCTTTTATTGTAAAGTAGTACGATCATTGTGGTTGACTAAGCCATAATTATTATATTAATTAATCATAATTAATTTGTGATTCCTTTGTGATGTGTTTTTTGTGACTTGTCTTTGTTTCTTTATCAGTTACTACATAAGTCATTAGCACTTAACCACATTGCAGCTTCCATTAAGAAGAGAGACCAGAGTGACCTAGTCACCCCCTCCCCCAACCCTGCCTCCCACCCCTACATCAAGTAATTTCTCAGTAAGCACATTAAAATCAAATGGCTGATGTTGAGTTTTAATGGCTGGATCCATGATAGCATAAGTTTGTTTCGGATGGTATAATATTTTAGTGTCCTGGCTCCTTGTGGAAGTTGATAACAACCCTAGTTCTCTCTTGGGTTCCTTTAGGATACTAAGAATCTAGCTCAGTGGCTTATCACCTGTGTGCCACTGGTTCAGTGGATTATTGTTTTAAGCCTGTTTTCTTATCCATGATATGGTATAAGTCTCAATTTTCTTTTTTTTTTTTTTTTTGAGACAGAGTCTCACTCTGTTGCCTGGGCTAGAGTGCCATGGCGTCATCCTAGCTCACAGCAACCTCAAACTCCTGGGCTCAAGCGATCCTCCTGCCTCAGCCTCCTGAGTAGCTGAGACTACAGGCATGCGCCACCATGTCTGGCTAATTTTTTCTATATATATTTTTAGTTGTCCAATTAATTTCTTTCTAATTTTAGTAGAGATGGGGTCTCGCTCTTGCTCAGGCTGGTTTCGAACTCCTGAGCTCAAACAGTCCGCCCGCCTCGGCCTCCCAGAGAGCTAGGATTACAGGCATGAGCCACCTCGCCCGGCCAGTCTCAATTTTCTTATCTGTAATAGGGAATAATGCTGCCTTTTTCACAGGATAACTCTACAAATTAAAGGAGAATATATGCAAAGGGCTTGGTTCAGTGCTTGGCACTTGTAGGTACTCAATAAATTGTAGGTATATTATTGTTATTAATTATGAGTAAGACTAATTTTGTCGTAATTGAATTTCATCATCATTGCCTATTCTGGAGATACTGATGCTGTAAATATCTCTTCATTGAGGCATTGTATAGCAGAGAAAATAAATAATGATTCATCCTTCAAAAGCACTTTTCATGTACATAATCCTATGGGAAGGGCCTTATTTCATGGGACGTAGTTTGACTGAATCAATATTTACAAGATTGACACGTTGTTTGGAATTTAGGTGTTCAATAAATATTCTTTAAATGAACAAATACTGCTCTGAACTTCTATTTCACTTTAAAATGAGGGTGATAATTCATGTGATAACACAAATGAGATTATGTACATAAAAGCACTTTGTAAGGTGCAGTGTAAAGGTAAGTTGTAAGTAATTACACTATTTTAAAAGATGGAGTAGTTTTATTGAGGAAAATGTTTTTCGCCCCCTGAGCAATATTTTTCTCAGGTGTCTAAAAACCAAGACTAATAGTAATATACACATTTGGGTTTAGAGGAGAAAGGTTGTAATAAATATGCCCCATGGCTGGCAGAACTTCAGCCGTGTGCATCACTCCGGGGCCTCCCGCCATCCTGGCTGGGGCCACCCAGGCATTTGTTCTTCGTGCTCACTGGCAATTACTCAAGCAAGTTCCCACCACTTTGAGGCATAGCATTTGTAAATCCTGAAACTTAGGAAAACAGTGCCCCGTCTCGGTTTCGATTCGTGTAGGACCCCTCCCTTCAGCTCAGAGGAGGAGCTGGAGGAGGACAACCTCGTCCAGACCTACGTGTGCCCAGACCTGCTTCCGGTGCAGCCGCCTCAGAGCTCGGGAAAGAACGCCGCCGTCCAGAGTGACACCGACTGGACCACGGGAAGTGAAATGGAGGACTCGGATGCTTCTCCCAAGCCCACGGGTGAGCTTTTATCACCGAACGACCTTGCAGGCATTTTATTTAGGACGGTCGTCCTCACGCGGAGGCACCGCGCTCCGGGAGTCTGAGCGGGGAGAGCCGCTGGGAAAGGACGGGGCAGCTCCGAAGGGCGCTGCCGAGGAGAGCCGGGCAGGGCTGAGCCACTAACCGCCCCGGAAGTGGCATCTTCTCGTCGTCCGCCCCCACACTTGCGTCTCTGTTCAACCTTCCGTTTGTATGAGGCCACTGGTCGCGTAGGACTAGGGCCCACCCTAATCACCTCGTTTTACCCTGATGACCTCTGTCCAGTCTCTGTCTCCAAATAAGGTCACATTCTAAAGTACTGGGGTTAGGACTTCAACACGTGAGTTTGGGGGGACGCGACACAACCTCTGACACTGGGTGACTATGAAAAGAGCTGCTCTAATACACGGAGCTGCCTCTCGGAGCTGGGATGATTCTAAAGGAAGACAAGTTCCCCATGTGTGACAGCAGATCATCTACTGAAAAGAAGTGGAGGTGACGGACCTTTTTATTAAAAAAGAAGAAATTCTGCTTAATCCTGTTTTTCAATAATATACTTTAAACATACCAGTTGTAATTAATGTATTATACTGTATATGATTTTTATATGCCATGTAGTTATATAATTACATAAAATATAAGTGATTCATTTAAAAATAATTCATATTGCTTTTAAAAATACTATCTGAATATTCCATTCATGCAGGTTACCTCACTGAAATTAAAGTTTCTGACCACATACTTGAAAATGAAAACTTTATAGCTCCTAATCTGGAGGATCTTGATTTTTTTTTAAGAAATTGAAAGTGTTTTACTCTTTTTTCCCAAACCCAAAATACATGACTTGATTTTATTTTAATAATACATAATTATGTGCAAGGCTTAGACTCTTTCAAAGCTGCCCGTAAGATTATTTTGGAGCTGAAATAGGTACAATTTTTAAAAATCTGTACCTGACTAATTTCTGTTGATCTTATAGGAACCTCCATTGAAACACAAACTGAAAAAGTTGAAAAGATGGCTTCAAATCACAGAATTGTGAATAAACCAGTTGGTGGGATTAATGTTGCTCAGGTCTTTATCAAAAAAGAAGAATTACAAGAAGAACTAAAGGTGAAATCACTTTTACTTGCTAAACATAAAGTCATCTTTTAACAAATGATTAAACGATTGCAATTTTTGTAGTGAAATATGAAACAAATATAACTAGTTGGCATAGTGGAGATTGAGATTTTCACCTTATCTTGTTTTCAGTATTGCATTTCTTTCCATTCCATAGAGAATCAAAGATATTGGAGCAATGACTGGTAGTGTGTAATATGCATATCATGCATTACAGGTTTTCAAAGTCCTGTCATATGTACTATTTGATGCCTGCAGATATCACATGGCTTGTACAAAGAAACGTATGACTGGCTAGAATGTAGGGCCTCCAGAGCCAAGTCTAGGAACTTCTCCACTACCCTGGCGCGACCTTAGGGACTTTTCAGGGTTTAGCTGGAGTCAGTGGAGAGATGCTTCAGAGAGATCTGTGGATCAAGAGAGTCTGTGGCAGAACCCAACCTCCTCTGCTGCATTAGAGGAGACCAATTTTCTGAGCAGTTCTAACATCCAGGATGCCGGAAGAGTTTCTATGGATGGAGCTCTCCCATTGTATTTCTGGACACACCTTATATGTGTTGATGGGTCTTCCAGTAGTCATCAGTCTTTTCTTCATTTTTCACTTAAATTAGATTTAATTCTTATCCTGTTTATCTATGGAATACACAGTTTTTTTGTTTTGTTTTTTTTGTTTGTTTGTTCGTTCGTTTTTTCCAGAGACAGTGTCTCACTTGCCCAGGCTGCAGTGCAGTGGCAGGATCATACTAACTGTAACCTCAAATACCTGGGCTCAAGCAATCCCCTATCTCAGCCTCTTGAGTAGCTAGGACTACAGGCATTCACCACCATGCCCAGCTAATTTTTTTAAAAAATTTTTTTAGCGATGGGATCTTGCTGTGTTTCTCAGGCTGATCTCGAACTCCTGGGCTCAAGTGATCCTCCCACCTCGGCCTCCCCAAGTGCTAGGACTACAGGTGTCAGCCACCAGAGTACTTTTTCAAACTACTTTTATTAGTTAGTGCTATTTGTGTTACATAAGCCAAAATGACAAAAAGCCATGTGTTGTTCAAAAGAGAGCTAACTCAGTCTTCCTTTAGAAAGGGCTTGGTAGAAATGTGTGCTCTTCCTGGGTAGGCCTGTTTCTGCAGGGCCCTTGTTTGATGTATCCCATAGTTAGGTGTCGTGTTATCACAGAGCTAAGAGCCTAAAGCAGGCCTTGCTCCTACTCCCTTACCCCTATAATGTGGTATTTCGAGAGTTTTCTAAATTCATGATTGGTAGATTAGGAAACATATTTCCAAGGCAAGAAACGAAAAGGAGACAGACGATTCCCTCAGTTTTCAAAACACTGACTTCCAAATCCATTTCATTGCCCTACAGAAATAACCAGGTGTGGGATCCTTGGTAGCTTCCCCCTTCTTATCTTACCGTTCAGTGCAGGTGCTCAGTCTGACCAACAAAAGGATGGAAAGGCACCATTTCTTTAAGAAATGTTCACTATTCTCCATGCGTCTCTTCTAGTGCACAGATGTGGACGACGACGACTGGGACATATCATCCTTAGAGGAAGAAAAATCTTTGGGGAAAAAAACTGGGAAAGAACCTCCACCACCTGTGAAGCATGAATCAAATTCCAGTCAAGTGCCAAGTGCCTGGGGCCCATTTAATCCTAAGGGGCCAAAGGGAGAAGGTTCGGGCTTTCATTCTGATTAGTTGTGTTTCATCTTCATAAATGTCTAATTGACCATCCTATGCTGATACATCATCAGACAAAAACACTATCCTGATGCTTTCTTTATGTTATTTTAATAAGGTCCGGATATGTATAATTTACTGCCTTCTATATATTTACTAATTATTTTTATTTAATTTTGGGCCTGATCTTTAGTCTTTAAAAATTTTTTATATTATTTTATTTTTAGAGATGTGGTCTCACTACGTTGCCCAGGATGGTCTTGAACCCCTGGGTTCAATCGATCCTCCTGTCTCAGCCTCATGAGTGCCTGAGACTACGGGTGCAATCCACCACACCTAGCTTTTCTATAATTTTTTTAAATGTCCATAGAAATATTTTCTAGATGGAGATGCCCCATAGGAATTAAATTCTGATCATATACCTGAAATGAGACCATACTTCTAACAGTCTTCCTGTATTCTTCTGTTTTCCCTATCAAATATTTTTCTTTCTTTTCGTCCAAGGGAAGTTTTTGTTACGGCATTGTGGTCAGAGGGATGAGTTACAAATGAAATCATTAGTTGAGATGATTTTCATATCCACCTAGTCTAGAGCCTGGATAACCTCGAAAACTTAACTCTCAATAGATTTAATTTTTAAAATTAGAAAATTGTAACTTTTTTTATCAAAGTAATTCTTCTAGCACATAGTGAAAGCCAAGTTGTACAGAGGCTTCTCTGAGCCTCCCCTCACCACCTTTGCGCCTCTGGCGGGCACCTTGTGTCGCTCAGTGGTGGCCTCAGACTGCTCTTTCCTGATTCATCAACTTCAGATATAACTGTGGATGTCCTGCTAAGACAGCTGGGGACTTGGCTCATCTTCACCACCCTCTACAGCTCTCATGCCCCCTTCACTATTTTTGTACCTCCATTTGTCATTTTAAATGAATACGTGCACATCACCACATTTGCTCGTTCCATCTTCAGCAGTATCTCTCGCACCCCCTTTGTGAGATGAGCCATTGCCGCCCCTGTCCTTCACGCCACTTTTGCCTCCCACCAACGCATCTGCTGCACCTTAACCGCCACACTCTCCCGTTATAACATGGCTGTCACGTAATCGCCATGAAGTTATCTGTGCTGTGCCTGAAGATTGACTCTGATCACTGAAAACCAGAAGACCATGTTTTCGTTACAGACTTTTAAATACATGGGTTACGAGGATGCCCCAAGTACATCTCCTGTCTCTTCCCCCACCACCGTGACCCCGTGCCCCTCAAAGAAAACGTTTCTAGAGTCGCACTTGAGTGGAATTCTCTGCACTCTGCTATTTCAGTGTTTTGAAATCATGGCACTTTTTAATTAACTTCACTTTTAAGTCCATCTACCCTAGAAAATCTGTTTTTAACATGTAATCTCTACTTGGCTTGATACTAATAATTTCATTCTTCTCTCTTTACCGACTCACTCAGAGTCAGTAACAACGACACAGATGTACTGAGTGCCTTGAACATCTGGGCGCCTGCTGAGTGCTGGGGAAGGGGGATGGGGCCCCTGCTGCCTGGGAGCTTATAGGTTGCTGGGCGCAAGTTCACATCCAAGAGTCCTGTGAGTGAATCCTAGAGATGTGGCCAGTTCATAATCATGGTTGGATTCTACAGTAGCCTCTTACGTACCTCGTGGGGGCTGGGCGGGGGAATTCATGAACAGATTCAGACACTGGGTGATAAATGACAATATGAAATTACAGATGTCTACAGCTTAGCCATGTGCTTGTTTAACCATTCGGGCCTTCTCTTCCTCTTCTTCCGTCTCCCCCACAGGACTTCAAGAAAATGAATCAAGCACATTAAAAAGCAGCCTAGTAACTGTGATTGATTGGAGTGACTCTTCAGATGTATAATTATAATTCCGCACGTCAGAAGATTCTTCCAGAAACCAACAGTATTTCAGTAACCTGCCTACCCGATTCCAGTGCTCCTATCTCACAGCGTTTCCCACAGTAACAAGGAAGCCGGTTCAAAGAACAAGGGTCTCTTTAATGGCACCTAATACAGTACTGAAAAACAAATTGTCAACAGTATTTTGAAGCGTATAAAGGCATTTAAGACTTCTGCTTAAAAATAACCTGTCATCGAAGTTGTAAAAAGTTTTTTCTTCAGAATGGTACTGTAGTGTAGTTTTTTTTTTTTCCAACTAACTTTTTTTTTTAATTTACAGCAGGGTTTGGTTTGAATTATTAAAACTTTTAAAACATTTTTCTCATGTATATTGTCACATTGGAAGTGTTTATCTTATAAAATTCTGTTAGTACCCGTAAAATTGAATTAGTGGAATCAGTGAAATCCTAAAGGTTAGACTGGTTATATGGAAGTTTAGAATTACAACCATATAGCTAGGTCCATGTCAAACACATTTTCCTGAAGTACCTTTATCATAGTCAGCTTGGAGCCACTGATAGCATGTTGCTATTAAATTTATTTTCTGTAGCATCATTTTCATCTTGGATATTTTAGGAATAAAATCTAGCTATTTTAAATGCAATTTATCAGAACATGAATAGAAAAATTGAGTTGTTACTGAATTCTTATTTGTATGTAGTTTTTCTTTATTTTTGAAAATACCCAGCCCATATTATAAAATACTTCAAAGCTAATTTAGCTATATTCTTGAACAATGACATTGTCAAAGGTCAGAAAATTAATATAAACTGTTTTTTGCATTTTTTATTACTTTGTGGTACTATCTGTACTCTGTTTCCAGGAAGAAGTAACATTTTAACTAACTAACTGGTTGGGTTTTGGATCTCTTTTCATTTGTCAACCTTTTCAGTAGAGCCCTCCATCCCATCATTGTGACTGTGGCTGAGTTATTGGAGATGATTTCTGCGTTAAATTTATACTAATTAGGGGACTTAGTAAACAAGAAGCTTGCCTTGGAATCCATGCCATATAACATGCTGACCTAACTAGAACAAATCTTTATCTGTTTCTACTTCCCCATCCCCAGGGTCCTTTTTACTTATAGCCCATTCCGCCCTCCAAAAAATCCTTCCAGCTCCCTACAGGGCCGTTTCATGCAAATATACTCACTTTATATGTATGTTTCTACAAGCTTGAGTAAAAGCTGACTCAGATTTTCATACAATAGGACAGAGATAAGCAATCTACAAAAATGTACCATGCCTAAGATGGCCCACTTAGTTCATTCTGTTATTTATTCAACAAATATTTATTGAACCACTTGGTTTTGTTAATTTTTTATCCTTACAGACAGGGTCTCACTCTGTCGCCCAGGCCGGAGTGTTCTGTTTTAAACACGCATTCATTCATTTAGTCACAATTTAGAGATGTAGTTATCATTATAATCCTCTTCCTAAAGATGTGAGAAACTGAGAGTTACTGGGTAACTCGCCAAAGGCCACGAAACTAGAAAGTGACAAGAGCAGGCTTTAAACCAGGTCTATATTCTACGTTCTGTCTGCCATGTCTTCATTCCTGAGCGCAGAGGCTTGGGGAAACATAATGAACTTCCACCAGGTAAACCCAATGTTTAAGTCGCTATGTCTGTGTCCTAAAAGTCACTCCTATAACTTACCTGGTTAGTTGTATCATTTTTTCGTATTAGATTTCGTTCATTCGTTTTTCTGTGGGCCAGGTTACTTTATATTGCCCCTCACTGATGCCCAGCTCACATGTTTCTGGACACTAACAGAACTTTTCTGTACCTTCATCCTCTACCCTCCCTAAATTCTTCAGTATAATCTAAGTATTATCTTCACCAGCTCAGCTTTGAATAAAAAAAAATTTGTTGGAAACGCACACCTACACAGCCCTGTCCCACGCTGGCCTGCAGCACCTAACCTACCCATATGTCTTTCAGTTAATTAGTATCTCTGCAAAAGAGATTTCAAGGATTACCATGGTGTGAAATTTTTTATTTTTTCACAAACTTGTTCCTTTCCTTTTTTTTTTCCATTGAGCACTTCTGAAGAATGTGATTTTCCTTTTAAGTCTTTCACACTGCAGGAAAATGTCATATTCACCCATGTTGTGATTCATATTGGACAGTTTCTTACCCAAAGATAATACAGATTCTAATTCTTATCCACACTGCGAAACTACATGTTATTATCCTAGACCATCCTGGTTCAAAGGCCTGGTTTTGTCACTACTGTGGCACGCTACTTAAGCTCTCTGCTCTTTTCCTTCTCTGTAAGAGCAGGTGGAAACAATAGGGGCCTCACGGGATGGTGGTGGGGGTGAGTCGGGGCACGTAAGGTGCGTGCTAACTGCGGTCACTCTTGCCCTCGCGGGTATGTTACACAGGGTGGCTCTAGCCTTTATTCAGAAATCTGTGCCTTTATTCAGAAATCCCTGGAGAAACTTACGTGTCTTGAAAGATGGCAAGTCTTTCAATGACCCAGTTAGTTCCATAAACAGGACCTGTGGGACACGCTGGAGCTCAGCCCACCAGTTCAGAGTGAAGCAGGTACCATACGGGCTCCAGAGGCAACCACGACCACTGTTCTTTGCTGAAGTCCCGTCTCAGGACTCTGCTTTCTGTGCCAGAGAGACCTAAGCCGTCAATTTAAGGTGGATGTGCCACATAAAGGAGAGTCACATCCTGGCCCCATCAACCCTTCCTCGAGCAGTCAGAATGAATTACAGTCGTGAAAGATGGGTGTCGGGAACTAGAAGTCCACTTGCAGCCAGTAAAGTGTCCATTAACATGGACACCTTTTGAGGAATATTCTCAGGTTGTCCTCATGCCGTTTATAAGACACCATTCCTTACATACCTTCTATTTAATCTATGAATGAAAAGAAACATAGCAAGTGGGGACAAAGACTTCTATGTACGAATGATTAAAAAGGCTAGATTATGAATACTTGAACTTTTGGTACTAAATGCTTTACATGTTCTACAAATGTATAAAATATGTTACAGATCCTGTAAATAACCAGTTTATTTTTTATAGAAAGCCACAACAGAAAATGATTAGTATACAACGATGTAAGAACATTTACATTCATACAATCAACAAATTCTTCAAATTCGTATTTTAAAAATAGTTTCAGTGTTAATTATAGGAGGGCCTTGATGGGATCATTTTGTGAACAGTTCATTTTCACAACAAACTCAAGACACAGCTTGCCAGCAGAGAGCTCTTTTAGACATAAGCATTTTTGTCAAACTGTTTTGAAGGGTTTGTGGTTTTAAAATCTTCTCCGCCATGATACTTCGTCCGAGAAGACATGGCAGATGTGGCTCCATTGTACACGTATCCCATTCTGAAAGGCAAGACATGGTTTGGTAGGTTCTGTTCCGCACATGGGGCAAACAAAAAATGGGAAAATACTGTTTCTGCCTGTCTCTGTCTCTTTAAACAGCCAAGTTTAAATTTTGCTCTTTCTTAGCTTTCTTCCTCTGGCCCCAAGAAATACTTCGGTGTCATTTCTGAATAGCTGGTCATTTCTGAATCTCTGTAGAAGAAACTCATGACTTGTTCGTTTGTTCAGTTATTCTCTTTAAAAACCGTATTTTAAATCTCATTTTCCTGGAACCTAGGAGACTTAGTAGCGACCTTCATCAACAATTCCTGCCTATATGAAAATTATGATGAGGCCAGAGTGAAGAACATGCCCTCGTACTTAGACCCATATTTCTTATAGAAACAGCTTTAAAATATGATAATGATGAGTCCTTTT